ATAACGAATCTAGGTGGCGGGTGTGAGTGCTGTAACTCACCTTTGACCACGTTTCCCGTGGCATCTACCACTATTTTCGCTTTGCAATTCTTAGAGGTTCGGGAGACACATTTCCACTTCTCAGTGGAAGCAGCAGCGTGCTGAATGCAGTAGGTGTAGCCTTGGTAGATAATCAAACGATGTCCCCGATGAGTGAAAACGTATTGAGCTACTGAAATTTTAAAAAATAATGTCTTACATACCTTATATGTATAAATAATTAAGCAGTTTTCATTTAAGTTGCAGAAAATAGTCTACGCTGGTCGCACAATCGACTTTTGCTCGTTCCATGACCTTCGCACTAAAATCACTCATTCTTCTTTCTTCATACAAGACAGTTATTATGGAATAAGCTTCCCTCGGATATCAGAGCTGCAACCTGCCGAATGCGTTTCGAGCCGAGAGTACGTGAGTACACAAGCAAGAAAATGGTACTTTCCCCACTTCCTTTATAAATTGTTTACATTATATTATTATATAACGTTAAATTATATGTGTGTTTGGTAATAAATACATATTATAAATATTTATAATTTATATTTAATGTTTTAATTAGGTTTATATGAATAACTTTGAATTGATTTACATCTTTACTTCTCATAACTTCCTAAATTGCTTCATATCACCTACCACACATCTGTACTACCGAAAGGGTAACTGGCAGAAAATTCTTCTAGAATTAAGTCCTCCATGCAATTGTGTATAGAGAGGATTACTAACAAAGTGATTAAACAAATAAATTATACCTTTTAAATTCACCACAAAGAGTTACTATTTTCATCATTCTACGACTATACGAAGTATGTACAAAATAAACCTAAATATTAACCATCTATAGGTATCGCCAAAGAAAATTGCATTATCTCAAAGTTATATAAAATTTTATTACATACTTGCAACGAAATAGAAATCCATGACAATCAACTCATTAAAAAAACTTGGATTATATAATAGAGGTAGAAAATTTGATAAACATATACACGTAATAATTACGCGGGTATTAACGCGAAAAAATCTGCTTGCGACCCCGACCTACGCAACAACGTCGAAACGTCAAGCCTACACAAGGTATTTAAATAATTATTTTTCGCGTTAATAACCGCGTAATTATATGTTGTAAACATGAAACGTGAAAGTATAAAAGTTAGTTTGGCATATACACTAATGTATACATATATCATATCCGATAATATTTTCCTGAATTATTAACCACGAACGCTGGTGGGGGATGAGTGTGGTTGAACTCTCCGCTCACCACTTGGCCTCGGTCATTAACCACCACTTTCCCTTTGCACTGCTTGGCGGTCCGCGAAACACAGGACCATTGCACAGTGCCTTTGTTTGATGCGTGGTGAAAACAGTAAGAATAATTCTGGTAAAGAATCAGCCGCTTTCCCAGCCGAGAAGTTATAAACTTGTACTCTGGAAGATAAGATACAAAAAGTGTTGTAGTTTTGAAAACGATAAAACGTTTTGATTCTCAGATTATTTCGACACCACTTGAAATACGGAAAAAGAAAACGTAGTTTTTTTATGTGATAGGGCGGCAAACGAGCATAACGATTAACTGATGGTAAGCAATCAGAGCGGCCCATGGCCACCAGCAACAACAGAGGAGTTATGAGTGCATTGTCAACCTTTTGATTAAGAATTTCATATTTGGAAATTTTGGGATTGGGAAGTGATTGTGGAGAGGTCTTCGTGAGGAAATGTGGTCTGTATAAATTTTATTTGTAAGTTTGAAGTCAAGTATGCTAAGTACTTAATGTCTCCATGTGAGAAGAGGCCTTTGAACATGATGAGTTGATATTAGATACCAGCTAGTCACACCGAACCCTCCCAAAAATAATAATATGTTATTTTTCTAAAATTCAAGTACAAATGTGAATCTTATATTTAAAAATGCAGTCCCGATACATGAACAATTGCGAGTGGGATTTGAAATACTAACACAAAATTCTTTTTATGGATATATTTATTGTTATCTATATATTATATTAGGTGGTTTAAGATCAGTTATACACTTTGGTTTTACATTTGTCGTAACTTCTAAAATATTGTCCGTTGTGAAAAACGAAATGAGGCTGAGGATGGGTATGCTGACCCTCGCTGGCTATCAGTTTATCATTAAAGTCTATGACTATAGCCGCATTACAACGCTTGCTCCGGTTTGAAGTGCACACCCAATAATCCACTTCCTTCGATGCAACGCGACGACGGTAAGAATATGTAAAATTCTGGTATAGAATTATATTCTTCCCTTTCATAGACTTTATATAACAATGCTCTGTAAAACAAAACAAAAACAGCTTTACACAAATTAAATACAAAATGAGTAATATAAAATAATCCATATTTTTTTTCTAAATATATGAGTTAATAAATTCCACTATTGTACGTTCAGTTGTTTTAGAAAACGACTCATAGTAAAAAGGGTTCTACTTTTCAAAACAATTAATAAAAAAGTCATAATGTTACATTTTTTATTCATACACTTCACAATGCTATTAAATTAAGTATTAAATACAGCACAAAATCATTTCAAAGGCGATAAAAGTTTTTGGCAAATGGTAAGCGCTTATAACATTAGGTAGGTACTGAGTCAAATCAAATCAAATCGTTTATTTTGCAGAGTATACAATTAAATTATATATAGGAATTTCCAACACATACTACCTTATTCCTTCATGCCAAAGAAAAATATTTTTAATACATACAAACAATCTAAAATTTAAGCAAAGTAACAAATTACTAAATTATAAAAGAAAAAATATAACATTATTAAAGTCTATCGTCATTTAAAAAAAGCGACGTTTCGTGTACATATGTATACACTGTTTGTTCCTTGAGAGAATAAAACTTGTAAATACACACAGACTTAAGTTATCAAAGCAAAAATACCAAAACAATTTTTGATGCACACTTTTATAAGTAAAGATTTAGCAAATTTTTTTGAGTTCATTGTCTATATTGCATTAAGTCCCCTTATGTCTATCTGTGCTTACCTTGGCGGAACTAGACTAAACACCCTACTAAGGATGCACACCGCGGCCCGAAGCAAGAAATAAAACGAGCCTGTTTCTAATTAGTAAAACGTACGCTACGAATGCAAGACTCTTATGACTGACCGACCGCCGAACTAGGGCGGGAGGAGCTATCCGCTTATTATCAATCTTAAAAGGTTTGAGTGCGCGCGGTTGACACAGTGACTGAGCGACTGGTTGCTGAGTAACGTGGCACGGATTCAATTCCCACACGGAACAACTTTTTTGTGATCCACAAATTGTAGTTTTGAATCTGGGCCACGACACACGAAAAAATCCTAGGAAACGGTATTAAAAAACGGACGGTTAGGTAAGTATTACAGAACTCTGGGTAAGGCAGTAAGCGACTTAGACTCTCAAATACTGTCCACGAACACAACGATATGATGGTGCTTGATGATTATGTTCCAGATTGCAGGAGTCAATCTCATTGTTAGAATTGAGCACTAATCGAGCTTTGCAGTTTTTACTTCGACTGGAAGTGCAGATCCAATGGGCGACCCCTCTCGTCAGCACTGTCCGCTGGCAGAAATAAGCATATGATCTATACAGGATCAGCTGATTTCCTTTCATCGACTTTATATATTTGAAATCTGTAACAAAAAACCTTACATCATGAATTGCGACAAACTTTTCACATTGATCTGAAACTAAAAGCTTTTCATACAAAGAATACCTATTTAACAACAAAGATATTATCGTCATCGACAACAGTCGGATTATGTCCACTGCACTGTCCTGATCCTGACGCTTGGTTTAAAATTCCAATAAAACCAAGTCAGCTTCAAGACATAGTACCTACATACACATGGTCGGGTGGAACAGGTAGGTTTTCTAGGCTTATCATGTTTATTTCGGTATTTTTAGTACCTTGATAATGTAGAAGAAAATAAAACCATAGGTAGGTAGATACTTTATTTTTTGTTTACATTACTTATGTATAATATTTACATTATAATAAATCGCATAGCTTTAATTTTGTTGATAAATTGTTTAGACAAAAGATCTAAGAGTTTTCGATCTGAGTGATACGACGGATTCACGTGAACACAACGCGCCGTGCTTCACGCGAAACGTGAAACTTAATAATTATGTTCATTAAAAAGTATAAGATTTCAACCTCCTTTTCACTTTTATATTTTATAGTAGAATCCACCACTTACATAATACTGAGGTGGATCATGGTTATGTACGAAGCAATCTAATTCAATACGACCTTGATGGTCTAGAACAAGCTTTGCCTTGCACTTTTTACTTTTGGTACTTGAACAAAGCCAGTGGTGTGTTCCTTTCCTCACATAATTGTTTTGGCGCCAATACGAATAATTCTTGTACAATATCAATGTAGTGCCCGTTTTCAATTTAATGTATTTAATGCCTTCTGGAAAACAAAAGATAATATAATCAGCGTTGAATTTCAATATTAAAAAAAAACTAATACATAAAAATGTACGAGAAATTATTAGCAGAAGAAAGAATATACAATGGAATATACTTTTATTTTTTATTTTCTTATTGTATTACTTAAGATAATTTGAAAAAGGAATAAAAACCAAAGGTTTTTATCAAAATAAGAAGGTAACAAAAAAGGTTGTATTATTTGTTGTTATTAAAAAAGGTGTTGTTATTAAAAAATACGAAAGTTGACGTATACGAGCATAGACTTAACATTGAGAAAAATATTACCTACTATTAATTAAACCTATAATATACCAAAAAAGATCTTACATAAATACGCTAATAGGCATATCTTGATTGATTTTTACACAATACTATAAATGTCTTGTCTTGATGGGTTCGATAGCTCGTATATACCAATGTCACTGGCTAAGTTTAGAAAAAACATCGTAAAGACACCTTAACCTATGATTTAAATTTAGGTTGAAATCGCCAACCCGCTTTGGGCAAGCGCGGTGATTAATGCTCATTCCTTTTCTTATTGGGTGGGGGCATTTTCTCAGCATTAGAATCTGTACGAACTACCGCGTGATGAACCTTTATGTACTCTCCATTAAGGCAAAAGTATTGAGGAGGCAGATGATTATGGTCAGTTTGAGCTAACACTATTTCTTGATCTCCATTCAATATGACCTTAGCCTTGCAGTCTCTCTGGGACCGCGAAGTACATATCCACCGTTTGGTTCCTTTCTTATGAGCTGCAGAAGCAAAAGTGTACGTGTAATTGTCCATCAAAATCAATGGCCGACCGTTTACTGATTTTATGAACTTGAAGCCTGAAAAAAATATAAAGATGTTAATCATAAAAAGTGTTACATAACCAGCAATGTATATTTAAACAATTATTTGTTTATTTACCTTAGTAAGATGGTCAATCTGGATGATATTGGACTTACCCAAGCAGACAATGTAAATTTTCAAATGAAATAAACAGTTAACCATAACGTAATGTTACTTTGGTTTTACCCAAAATAAAACTAAAATAGCTGTAATTTCAATTTAATGACAAACATAAACACAAGAAAACACAATGTATTAAAAATCATAGGTACTAAGTAATATTTAATCAAACGATAAAAAAAATCAAAACATTCTAGCTACTTAAATCCCACAGTAAATATTCAAGAACCACAAAATTTTTTCATATTCTTTGCAGTAAAAGACTTAGAAAAAGATGGTCTACATTTATTAGTGTATTGATTCTAAATAATACAGGACAAGATCAGAATACATAAAACGTGGAACGCCAAAATAATAAATATCTTGATTAAGGAAATAGTAACATTAAATGGGGTATTTATCATTTTGTTACGAACCAATTAAGCTCGTTGAAAGTAAAAAAACAAACTGTTAGTTATTTATACAAGGTGTTAATAACAATTGTACCCACAGATGCGGACCGCGGGAGTCGTTACCTTTAGGTGCTAATATGCTATACATCGTGTAGCAACTTTTTGAAATGAAAAATATATTCCTGCGACTTAATTACTGGATATATGCGAATGATATACACTGAGAACTTCTTGAGGTATGCGCAGTTTAATTTATTGTCGTATTGTCATTAACATCTTGTATATATTTATTTAGGAGAAAAGTCAATTAATTACTAAATCTAAAAAAAACATAAACCTCGACATTACCACGACGTTTGATCAAGGGACTTTTATACAAAACGTAGCGTCAATTAATTGTGTTAGTTAATTTTAATGTACTCCCCTTTAAAGCAATGGTATTTGGGAGGCGGGTGATTATGATCAATATCAGCTGTCAATATTTCCTGATGCAAATTGAATATGATCTTAGCTTTGCAGTTTCTCTTGGACTGTGAGGTGCACACCCATCGTTTGGTACCCTTCGTATGGGCTACAGATGCAAAACTGTACGTGTAGTCATCCATCATAATCAGCGGACGACCGTTTTTAGATTTAATAAATTTGAAACCTGCAAAAAGAACATAATTATAATATAAAAGCCTTACTTTAACATTTGCAGCATTAAACACATATAATAAAAAATATAACCCGGAATGTTTTTTTGCAAGAGCAGGTACAGTCAATCTGGGTTAAATTGAATTTACTAGGAAGAACATTCTACATGCATCATCATCATCATCATCATCATCATCATCATCATCATCATCATCATCATCATCATCATATCAGCCACAGGACGTCCACTGCTGAACATAGGCCTCCCCCATTGACTTCCAGATAGGCCGGTTGGAAGCGACCTGTATCCAGCGGCTTCCTGCGACCTTAATCAGGTCGTCTGTCCACCTTGTGGGTGGACATCCTACGCTGCCCTTGCCGGTACGTGGCCTCCACTCGAGAACCTTTCTGCTTTACATGCATGGATTTGAAATATTTTGTTCCATTTTAATCAGAATGAAGACATATTATGGAAAGAAAACTTTATTTTTTGTTCTCGTTTCTTCACATGAACTAAACCAGTTTTAAGTTCCCTGCCTCACAAATGCTATAGTTAATTAACATGTTTTTGTTTATGTACATATTTTTTTAATCTTAAGACAAAATTACAATAGTTTAACATTCAGAAAACATAGGTACATAATAAAAAACAAAATCAAACTTGATTTATGTGTAGATATTTAATAATTATTCAATTAAAAATTGACCTAAAGGTAATAAATAGCATTTAAACATCCAAACATAAAATAAATCCATTCACTTTTGAATGGAAGAATTACGAAAAGATATTTATAAAGTCTGCGTATATGAAAATATACAAAGTAAGGAGTAAAGTCACAAAAAGTGCTAAATACAATTACATTAATGGAGTATTTGTAATTTTGTAACAAACTTACAAAAACATTAACAGAAACTTGATCAGCTGACTTTTATACAAAATATTGACATGATTGCTCGAAGTTTTATTTTTACGGGCAGGCTATTACTGCATAAAAGAACGGTTCCAAAGATCATATTAAAAGCAGATCTTACTCTGCCAAACATCACTTGCGTAAAGACGGATTTCAAGAACAATAGAAGAACTGTAGGTAATCTATGTCATCAGCGGACGACTGACGAAGAACACATATTTTTTTACTTTACAAGTGTTGGAGAGCCATGCTTTGGAACGAATGGATCGGCTCGACCGAAGTGCGTGATACCACGGCATCACAGAAAACCGGGCGTGAAACAACTACAGCGTTGTGCTTCGCAGTGTGAGTGACGTTACCGGAGGCCCAATCCTTTCCCTCCCTCAATCACCCCCAATCCCTAATCGATAAAAGATCGACAATAAACTCGTAACTCCTTTGTTGCGGGTGTCCATAGGCGGCGCTGATTGCTTTCCATCAGGTAATCCGTCTGCTCGTTTGCCGACCTATTTTAAAGAAAAGATTTTTAATTAATTTTTATGTATTCCCCGTTAAAGTAATGGTATTTGTGAGGCGGGTGGTTATGTTCAGCATCAACACTCACAATTTCCTGTTGCGAATTTAAAATAACTTTAGCTTTGCAATTACACTTCGCACGCGATGTACATGTCCACCGATTTGTTCCTTTCGTATGAGCTACGCATGCGAACGTGTACGTGTAATTGTCAAGCAGAATCAATGGGTGGCCTTTTTTCGACTTTATAAACTTGAATCCTGAAAAAATAACATCAAAAGTAAGTATTAGAGCAAACATTGATACTAAAGTAAAATTAATGAATATTTTTGATACTGACACCCGGTTTCTGAAAGGCTAAAATTAACTAACCTCCTCTTAAATGTCTTCTGATTGGTTGTTGATAATTCAGTCAACCAATCAGATGACTTGACAAGAGGTTATTTGATTTTAACATTGATCGGCCTTTCGGAAACCGGGTGTTAGACAAATTTATATGAGATATAAAACTTAGCAAGTCCGTAGAGACAATAGATAGTATGACTATAAGAAAACAAAATATTAAATCTTTTCAATTTAAACATTTTTTTTATTAATATTACACGAAACACAAAAAAAGTCAACTACACATTATACACATTTTACCTCTTTCCATAAGGCATGAAAAGACATTGAAACTTACTCCTGTGAGGAAATTGAGTGAAGGTATATATATGTATATTTTAACGAAAGGCTTATAACATTATGAATATCTATGTACATTAATATTATAAGGAGTTCAAATTTGTAGGGGTTACCCCCTATGCTATGGAACCGCTGGTCCGATTGCTAAAATTCTTTCACTGATAAATAGCTACAATGTTCCTAAGTGCTATAGGCTATAAAACATCACGCTACGATCAAATGGAGTCGAGCAGCGGGTGAAACTGCGCTAGTTGGGAAATATAAAAGTAAACTATTGCTTTATTAGTAATTAACTCTAAAGTACTGTCCATTATGACAGTGGTATTGTGGAGCAGGGTGATTATGTTGTTCGTCAATCATCACTATTTCTTGCTGCGAATTCAATATGACCTTAGCTTTGCAGTTTTTACGGGGCCTTGAGGTACATATCCACCGTTGGGTACCCTTTCCGTGCGAAAACGACGACAAATTGTACGTATAATTGTCAAGTAGAAGTAACGGCTGGCCCCTTTTCGATTTTATAAACTTGATTCCTGAAATTTTTTAAACTGTAGTAGTTTAAATCATTAGTGACAAAATAGATTGATGACACTATGACAAGTTCTATGATGAACTTGTCATGGGGATGCATTCAATAAACCTAGGCAAAATTTTGTTTACTTTTTTTTAAGTATTGGAGAACATCTTAAACTTATCTTTTTATACCTATCAATTCGAACAGACATATCAAAAAAATTTCAGTGGCTACACTGAAATATTGTTGATATGATTTACCAAAATTTAAATTTTTGGTGTGTGTCGTAACTTTGGAGTCTGTTAATTTTGTTTTTGAGTCTGACGTTATCCAAATTATTAAAAAATATAACGTAAATGAAAATAAAACAAGTGCAATTCTTATTTTTATTATATGAATTAAAAACTCATCACAATTGGATACATTACAATAAAAGTTGGTAGTATAGGTACCGTATCATTTTATCAATATCAATACTTTTTATATAGGACCTCATTATTCAATCCTTATATACTGTCCATTAAAAAAATGATATTTGGGAGGCAAATTGTTGTGATCGGAATCAACTGACACGATCTCCTGTTGGGCATTCAATATGATTTTAGCTTTGCATTTATTCTGAACTCTTGATCCACACAACCATCGCTTGGTGCCTCTCGTATTTGACACAGACGCAAAAGTATACGTAAAACTGTTATATAAAATCATTGGCCGGCCCTTTTTTTATTTTATAATCTTGTAACCTGAAAAAAACAAATAGCAATGTAAAGATTATTAAGTACCACTACAAAAAACATTTGAGAAAACTTTGAAAAAAGTGTTACAAACAATGTTTTTTTCACTGACAAACTTAACATAGGCATATTCCTTCGGCATGAACACTGAAGCAGTTTCTAGAAATAATGAGCATTTACTGGCATTTAGGTTAATTACAAAGAAAAGATCGATGAGTCCACAAACAATATAATTTAAATTTGCTACATTGAAGTGAAAAACATTTATACAATTTATATAGAGTTGTACACATCCTACAATGTGTATATAGGTCTAAATTTTGTTAAAATTGACGTTAATTATAACGAAAAATTCAAAATTATGGCAATGTTTTAACTTAGACAAGTGAGGTCATTAGTCTCACTGGTCTCAGGCAAAAACCAATATGAGTGAAACCAATAAGTATATTTAATTTTTTGCACCAGAATTTAGGTATAAGTCAATATAAGTA